CAGGGAGGGTTGGACCCGGGGTCCGAACTTTCGGCGGCGCGGGCGGTCAGCCGCGGTCCGCTGCCTCAGCGCCCCACTGGGGTGCGCGGCGGCAGCGGCCCGGGGCTGACTTCTTGGCCGCGCGGCCCTCATGCCCCAGGGGCGCGGCGCGTAGGATCTGGCGCCTGCGGCGTGACAAAACTGAGACCCAGCTAGGTCGAGCCAGCAACCGGGCAGGAGGGGGGGATGCCGGGGCCCACCTCGAGCCCAGGGTACCGCGGGGCAGGCTGTCGTCATCGGACAGCAAAGTCCTGGTGCCTGGGGTTCTGTCGGCGTGAGGCAGGCGTGGCCCCGCAGGGCAAGTGGGGGTGAGATGTCGGGTGCATGCGGGGGATGCCCCAGCGGCGGGCCCGAGAAGGTGGCGGGCGGTCCACTTATCCAGCGAAGGCTGTCTAGCTGAGCTGCGCCATGAGTGGAATGTGGAGGCGAGCCTTCGCCCCAGCGAAGGGTGGCCCCGGGCATTGCGGCCTGGGCTGGGCGCGGCGAGGTCAAACAAGCCTCTTCAGGGCCACGGGTAGCTGGAGGTGGGCGGGCCATGGGTCCTCTCTGGGCTGATGCATGTGCCTGGGCGTTGGTAAGCTGAGGTGCGCCGTGGCGGGGGCGCGTCATGCCTTGGGTGTTGGAGTCGCTCTTGGCCCACCAGCGGGCCCGCTTTTCGGAGTCGCGGTCGCCCCCTCGTGGAGAGCATCGTTTGCCCCCGCCTTTCCAGTCGGAGTCCGTCCATGGGGTGTCTCGCCGCTCCCACGAGGACCATTCCCGCCAGCCCCGCCACTGGCCGGGGGTGGCAGTTCCAATGGCTCCTGCCTAGGGGTCCTGTGCCGCTGCACGCGCACCCGTGCGGTTCTCGGCGGTCCAGGAAGCTGGCGTGTCGCGGCTGCCGTGCACGCGTGGGGCGTGTGCGGGAGCGTCGTGTCGCACGGGGAAATTCATGCGCCTGCGCCGAACTTCGACCCAGTCTACGCAGAGTCTGAGCTCACGATCCATCCGATATGCGTCGTAGCCAGCGTTGGCCCATGTTTCCAAGAAGTCTGCGCACGTCGCAGGTGTGTTGAGCGGGGGGTTGCTCATATAGCCTCCCTTGAGGTCCTGACTCTGGGCAACCCGCTTAACCCACGCGTGCCATATAGCGTTGAAGGTGCCCCCCAATGTCTTTTGCAGGCGTGTGATTTTGTCCTGGATGGGTTCGTCCTTTTCCACGCCCGCGGCTGCTGTAGTACATCTGTACATGAAGCCGCCGCCCTTGGGGTCGCTAAGGCCCTCGTAGTATGGCTTGGCACCCCAGCTGTCCTTCCAAGGCTCCCTGCGAGCCTCCGTGCGCATGGGGTTCACCCTTGGGGACTTGGCGGCGTGTCCTCTCCCGTTTCCGGCGTTTTCAGAGGCAGGGCGGTCGCGTCCTTAGTACCATGGGGTGGAGTTGGGCGTGCGGTCCACCCTGACCCCCGCGCGCTCCCAAGACGATGCGCTGTCCCTTCCAGTACCGTCTTTGGCACGCCGGAGTCCAGGGCTGCAAGTTGGTCGACGGTCTGTGAATGGAGCGTCCCGGGGGTGCTGCTTGGAGGTGCCCCGTGAATGCGCCTAGGGGGTCGAGGGGGTCTGCTTCATCGTCCTCGTCGGCGACAGGGTCTGGGCTCGCGCTCGGGCTCGTTTCCTTGGTTGTGGCTGCTGCGGTTCCTGGGTCATCCCCCCAGTCAGGCGTATCGTGCTCGCCCTCGGTCTTACCTGGTGGGGATACGCGAAGCGTGAAGAATTACAACAACACCGCCGCAAACGTACTACAACATAACGCGAGCTATTGTTTGTGGGTGGGTGAGCGAATCGCGAACATAACTCGCGTTAGGTTTCTATGTAAACCCTAAATATCAACTATATCCACTCCGCGGTTGCCTCTGGACCCCCACCTCCAGAGGATAGAGTCTGGGTGAGGACAGTGCAGATGCCAGTGTTCGGTGATAAGCACCCCGCTGTGCAAACAGCAATCTGGAAAAGGTCCCCCGCTCCCCCAATCCCCACAAAAAGGAAGAAACGCGGAAGGGACGGCGCCAGCGAAAGCGGAAAAATGCCTCCTCCTCCTCCTCCTCCTCCTCCTCCTCCTCCTCTTCTGCATCCTTCTCCGGACTCGCTCTCTGATTTTGGGGGCATGATGGGGCGGATAAATCATGCCACCCTGTCACACTGTCTGCAGTTCCGACGTCCAGACAATTACGCTCCCAGTGAGATCGATTATGAATGTCTTATGGTTCGATGGGGCTATGGCTCCACATGCTTTGACCCCTCATGACGTACGCCCCTCGTCATTTGACCATTCATGCTGGGTTGTTCTTGCTATCCTGGTTTCCCTGATCTCTTCCATCTCATCTGGCTACCCCCCCCCCCCAGCTGTAAACCAGGCCGGGCCTCGATATACTCCCCTGCCCATATCCGGCGGCTCCGACCGCCCCCTCCCTTTTTACTGGGGCGCTCGCCTCTCCGTGGGACGTCGGTCTCTCATGTCTCGTCGCTCTCTCTCTCCGCTCTCGCGTCGCGCTCCTCCGCGACTGCCCCGTCCCCTCTGTCCTTTAGCTTCCGCGCTGTCTTATCGCCAGGCTCTCTCCCCTGCTCGGCCCTCCCCCCGTCTCACTGCAGCGCGCCCTGATCCTGTGCTTGCTGTCCACTTTCCCCATCCACGCTGACCTCGTCTCTCCCTTCCTCTTGCTACCCTGTGTCCCGCCTCACCCTGCTGATTACCCCATCTCTCCTGCTACTTCTACACACGTGGATTTCTTCAATGTTGCCCCCAAGTGGGGGACATCTTGTTAACCTCATTTCCTTCTGTCCCCGTCGCATGGCCGATCCGATGGGCAGTTTATGCTTGCACATCGTCTGCTCAAGAACCCTCGTCAACACGATACGTTTCAAATGATGAATGGGCCAACCACCCTTGAGGCTGTGCATTCCGCCCTCCTCCTCCTCCTCCTTCTCCTCCTCCTCCTTGGAACAGCATAAATGTAAACGTTCGGAGGTCCGCGCGGACGTCCTGGGCTCGCTGGGCCTACCCTCCATGTCGCTGGAAGCGCGACAAGGGCGGCGCTGGAGGCGCCGCCAGGGGGATCCAACGCCGACCCGAGAATTCCTCGCGGACCTTCCGCAATATGTTCCCCTGTAGTTTCCCTACTTCGATCGAGAAATAATGGGGGTAAGCGTTTTTGTGTGTGTCTTTTTTTAAACAAAAAAAATGGGGCTGGACGATTAAAACAATAGTTTCGCCGGCCTGGGTGCCCCCACGATAGGGGGAGAGGGGACTCGGCCCGCGGAGGGGCGACAATTCGAGCGGCATGGGGAAGGCTGAAAGCCGACGGCTGACCACCCTGCCCCCCGATTCCCCCAATCCCAATATACCCTCCCGCGTTTTTTTTTTCTCCCCCAACCCACCTGCGTAGTTGGGCCTCGTTTTCCTTGAGACGCCGCGTTTCCTTCTCTCCCTCTCCTTCTCCACCTCCTCTCCTCCTCCCTCCTCCCTCGTCCTCCCTCATTCCCCCTGACTCCTCACGCGGTTCGCGGCCCCGTAAGGAGCTCCACCGAAGGGTCCACTGGGAGGGGCCGCGTAGCGCACTCGCGTCATCCCCACCAAATAATACCATGCGGCGCATCGTTCGTGGCCCCATAGGGAGCTCCGCCGAAGGCTCTAGTGGGAGGGTCCGCCTGGCGCACTCGCACCATCTCCACCAAATCATTCAATGCGGCACATCGTTCGCGGCCCCATGGGGGAGCTCCACCGAAGGCCCCAGTGGAAGGGTCCGCGCGGCGCACTCGCGCAAGCTGTAGCTCCCACGCCCCCATTACTCTTTCCCCTCCCTCATCCTCCTTGTCCTCCTCCCCCCCTCCTCCTCCTCCTTCGTTTCCTCTTCCTCCTCTTCCTCCTCCTCCTCCTCCGCGTCCTCCTCCTCCTCCTCCTCCTCCCCCTCCTCCTCCTCCACATCGTAATCTGTTTTTTTTTGCGACGGCAACACAGGCGGACGCACTCCTCTCCTCCGCGTGCCCGGAAGCGAAAAACGCTTTGGGAATGTTGAATTGCTTCATGCGTAGCAACGGCGAAGAAAGCTTTGGGAATGTTAAATGGTCCAGTCGTCCCAGGGGTGCAAAAGCACCGGCGAGAGCAGGAGGAAGAGGAGAAAAGGGAACGGGGGAGAAGACGAGGGGAGAGGGGAAGGTTGATACGAAGTTGCCCCAAAGTCGTATCATCTAGACGCCGCGCAGCGAGGCGGAGAAAATAAGTCGAACCACGATGAAGATAATCCTGCAGGCCCTCCTCGTAATAAAGTATCTCCAAGGATCCGAAGGAATCCTCGAAACTGCGCCGCGTGTGGCTGCCCCAAAGCGACGCCTGAAAAAATGCGGCGGGACGGGAGGGGGGAGGCGATTTAAACGCTAGTTTTCGGCGCGAGCCCAGGGGAGTTGCGGGGCGGGGGGGCGGGGGGGGGGGCGGGCGGGAGGACGATTAAAAAATAGTTTCCGATGCCCGATTTTTATTCGTCCACCCCACACAAAAGAATCAGGGAACCCGGGGGGGGGAGGGGGGATTTCTTCAATCGTTTACTCCCATAAATGCCCTCGCTACATCCTCCTCCTCATCTTCCTCCTCCTCCTCATCTTCCTCCTCCTCCTCCTCCTCCTCCTCCTCCTCCCACGCTCCCTCCTTCTCAGCCTCTGCTCGGGCTACAAGCTTCATCAGCGTCGCAATCCAGAGATCGATCCTCCTCCTCTTTTGCTCCCTGCTCCTCCTCCTCCTCCTTCACCTATCGGGCCGGGCGAAAGGGGAGGATAGCAACGGGGGGGGGTTGAGAATCAGCTCACGTAGCTGATTGTCACGGCGCCTCCCGGCGCCAGAGGCGGCCTTGTCTCGAGGAATGGGCCCCTCGGTGGGGCAGAAACCAGCTGCGTGCAGCAGATTTCGTAACCCCCCCCTTTCGTCCGGCCCGAGCCTCGCTCCTCCTCGCTCCATCCGCGAAGGCACGGCCGCGGGGCCGCCGCGGCCCCCGCCTGCCGCTCAGCAGCAGGAGCCCTTCTGCCTGCGCTGGACGTAGCGGCCGCTCCTGGCTGGCCGGCCGTGGACGCACCGCCCGCGGCGTGGCCTCAGCCTCCTCCTCCTCTTCCTCCTCCTCCTCCTGCTCCTCCTCCTCCTTCTCCTCCTGCTCCTCCTCATCCTCCCCCCCTCCTCCCCCCTCCTCCCTCCTCCTCCCTCCTCCTCCTCCTCCTCCTCCTCCTCCTCCTCCTCCTCCTCCTCCTCCTCCTCCTCGACCGCCCGAAGCTGGGGCCGGGACTGAGAGCCGGCGGTTCTCCAGGGCGCCCGCGTGTCGCGCCGCGCGGAGCGCGACACGCGAGTAACTGGCCTTCGTGCCCTCGCGCCACCCCGAGAGAAGGAGGATGAGGGTGAGGCGGAGCCGATCCGAGAACCCCGAGGCGCGAATATCTTCGCGCCCTCGTGGGCGCCCTTGATTCTGGAGGATGTATAAGGCGCCGCGGCCGTTCTGGAGCGCTTTATCCCGGTCCTGTCCCCGCCCGACCTCGACCCCTTCCCCCTCGTGCCTTCCCTCGGCGGTTCAAAAATGGGCCCTGAGGGATGGGGCCCTCTGAGGGCAGGAGAAGGATCGCAGGCTGAGCCTTCCCTCTTCGAGGCCCCTTGTCCTTATGGCCCCATCCCGCAAGGCCCCATCTGCAACCCGCCGACTCCCCACCCCGCCCTCCTTGTTCGCGGGTCCCAGGGCCAAATGCGACGCCCTGACTCTTCAGTATGGGGTCCCCGAAACCTCGACCCTTTCCCTGGGGCCACCTTCTCGCCCGAACAATTGTTTGACGGTCCTCGGGCCTGGCGAGGGCCCCTGGAGGCCGAAGATGGCCAAAAACCGTCGGTCGTATTTGTGCGCGACGCGAATATGTCTGGAAGGGCCCTCGCCCTCGCATTACCCCCCTCCTTGGTCCCCACGGATACTGCATGGACCAACGGCAGCCGGTCTGGAGCCGGCGAAGAAACCTGACCGCGGGCAGGCCACCAGAATCGCATCGGAGAACCGGCACCGCCCGCAACCAAATCACCGCGAACCGCTGGAGGACTGGGCTGGGAACCAGATTGCGCTGGGCCCGACCGAACTGGCAACTGGATCGCGAGCGGGCCACATCGGATCGAGAGGGCAAAGGCTCCTCTGGAGAAACCCCGCGTCGCCCAGGCGGGGCGGCGCGACACTTCTCTGGAGCGGAGTTTGGCGAACGGCATGCACAATCGTCTCGTAGACAGGCTGTTTGTGAGGTAGGGGGTTGGATCGGGGATCTACTGACCCGATTCAATCCAGACCCAAATCAGTCAGGCCTGGAAAGAACGCAGAACGCAGAACGCAGCTGTCAACGCCCAGGAGGGCGGCCCGAAAATAGGCGACAGACACCCCTGGAGCTGCAGGATCCTGCAAGATACAGCGCTCTGCCTGACCCCCGTTTGCATTGACCCTGTCTCTTGAGCCCTGATTAGGTAAATCATGATCATTTCGGGCGTCTTTGAGAAGCTCGTTTGAGCTCCAAGCTTCAGCTTGGAGGGCTGGCAACAATCCAGCCCAAACTCCTAGGGTCGGGAAAGCGCAGAGGAGGTAGATCCACGTGACCATTAAAACAGAGTAGGCGATCGACATGTTATCCCTGCCTGCCATTAATCTCCGATGGGCTGGGGAGGGGGCCACGGATAAGACATCGAGCCTTTCGAGAATACCGTAGCACCCCGCAATTGCGGATAAGAGTGAGGGGGCGGGCGCGGGCGACGCGGGCGTCGTCGAGCCGGCGGACCTCGTGGCCCCCACCTTCCCTGTCGATGGCGCTCTCCTCCTCCTCCTCCCTCCTCTCCTCCTCCTCCTCCTCCTCCTCTCCTCGTCCTCGTCCTCATCGTCATCGTCATCCTCCTCCTCCTCCCTCCTCCTCCTCTTCTTCCTCGTCCTCCCTCCTCCCCCCCCCCTCGTCCTTTCATCATCGTCCTCCCATTGTCGTCCTCCCCCTCATCGGCCTCCATCATCGTCCTCCCATTGTCGTCCATCATCATCATCCTCCCTCCTCCCCCTCCTCGTCCTCCTCCTCCTCCCCCTCCTCCCCCTCCTCGTCCTCCTGCTCCTCCTCCTTTTCTTTCTCCACATTCTCCTTACATCCTCTCTTCTTCCGCGTCCTCCTCGTCCCCTGTTTACTCCTCCTGCCTCCCCCTCCTTTCCCAAGATAACTGCAACGCAATCCTTTTTTCCACTTTATGCTCCCCGACTTCTCTGATCAAGGCAACTCGCCAGGGCAAAGTTGCTGGACGGGCTGGTGTGGATGCGCGGGGCTTGAAGAGGTCCTTGCGGGCTCAGACGGCATGCAAAAATCCGCCGCCGCGCTTGTGCGGCATTGGTTTGTTCAGTGAACGTGGTTTGGGTCGCGGGTGGGTCGCGGGCTCTCCACCTCCACCTGGAAGGAATGCAAAAGCAGCCCGCCGCAGGCGCCAACAAAAATTGGTTTGTACACTGAACGTGGTTTGGGTCGCGGGTGGGCCGCGGGTTCTCCACCGGGAACGAATGCAAAAGATGCCCGCCGCAGGCGCCGAAACATGTGGTTTGTACCCTGAACGTGGTCGCGGGTGGGCCGCGGGCTCTCCACCTGAAACGAATGCAAAAGATGCCCGCCGCAGGCGCCGAAAAATGTGGTTTGTACCCTGAACGTGGTTTGGGTCGCGGGTTGGTCGCGAGTTGGTCACGGGGTGGGTCGCGGGCTCTCCACCTGGAAGGAATGCAAAAAAAAACCCGCCGCAGGCGCCGAAAATGGTGGTTTGTACCTTGAACGTGGTTTGGGTCGAAGGTGGGTCGCGGGTGGGTCGCGGGGTGGGTCGCGGGTGGGTCGCGGGTGGGTCGCGGGTGGGTCGCGGGTGGGTCGCGGGGTGGGCGCGGGGTGGGCGCGGGTGGGTCGGGGTGGGTCGCGGGTGGGTCGCGCGGGGTGGGTCGCGGGGTGGGTCGCGGGGTGGGTCGCGGGTGGGTCGCGGGTGGGTCGCGGGTGGGGCGCGGGGTGGGTCGCGGGTTGGGTCGCGGGTGGGTCGCGGGGTGGGTTGCGGGTGGGACGACGACAACAAACAACAACAAACAACAACACACAACAACGAACAACAACAACGAGAATCCGCACCGCGGAATTCCACTTCAGCCACGCACCCAGGGACAGTGAATGACCGTTCGGCCCCCTCACTCTGACCATGAACGTGGTCGCGGGTGGGCCGTGGGCTCTCCACCTGAAACGAATGCAAAAGATGCCCGCCGCAGGCGCGGAAAAATGTGGCTTGTACCCTGAATGTGGTTTGGGTCGCGGGTTGGTCGCGAATTGGTCACGGGGTGGGTCGCGGGCTCTCCACCTGGAAGGAATGCAAACAAGCCCGCCGCAGGCGCCGAAAATGGTGGTTTGTACCTTGAACGTGGTTTGGGTCGAAAGTGGGTCGCGGGTGGGTCGCGGGGTGGGTCGAGGGTGGGTCGCGGGTGGGTCGCGGGTGGGTCGAGGGTGGGTCGCGGGTGGGTCGCGGGGTGGGCCGCGGGCGGGTCGCGAGGTGGGTCGCGGGGTGGGTCGCGGGGTGGGTCGCGGGACCCGTGGGTTGCGGGTGGGTCGCGGGTGGGGCGCGGGTGGGTCGCGGGGTGGGTCGCGGGTTGGGTCGCGGGTGGGTCGCGGGGCGGGTTGCGGGTGGGACGGCGACAACAAACAACAACAAACAACAACAACAAACAACAACAAACAACAACGAACAACAACAACGAGAATCCGCACCGCGGAATTCCACTTCAGCCACGCACCCAGGGACAGTGAATGACCGTTCGGCCCTCTCACTCTGATATTCTACACATGCCCGATGCCCCTCCCCCGTCCCTGCAGTCCACGGTTGGCTGACTCAGCGAGGGTATGGATAGAACGTCGATCCCCGAGAGAGGGCGGCCGAGGTTCCACAAGGGCTCCCAACTTCGCGCTTCGCGCTCCGCAAAGCGCGAATAAGTTCGCGCTCTCGCGCCGCCCCCCGAAAGGGAGAAAAGGAGGACGAGGAGGAGGGGGAAAAGGAACGAGGATCGCGAAGCGCGAATAACTTCGCCCCCTCGTGGGAGCCCTCGTTCCAGGATCCAGGTCTTGGATGTGTTCGGACGCGTTTGCCATATTTTGAGGCTCCATGCGCCTCCAAACGCCTCGGGAGACCTCTGCAGGCCTATGGTTAAGTCGGGCGTGTCCCCCTACAGGGGGATTTTCAGCGAAAAATATAAACAATTGCTCAACAAATACTCCCAAATGGTAAAAACATACTCCACACATGGTCCCCAAACTATTTTTGACTATTTAGGAATATTCCCCCTGTAGAGGGACAGGCCAGATTTAAGCCTATGGGGGCCTCCAGAGACCTCTGGAGGCCTCAAGAGAGGACGGGAGGAGAGAAGAGAAGACCCAATGCCAGCAGTTCTGCGCTGTCTTCGCTGGGCGCCACACCAACCGCCGCCTCCCCTTTCCACCCTGCACTTGGCCGCTGGCCTGGTACGGATCCCCCTGGGCGGGGGTCAACTCGCCGTTTCCCAGGGATGGCCGGCTGGGAGGCGGGGGACGAAGGAGCGGGGCGCAGTTTTTGCGGGCACGCTGCAAAGCGGAGCGCGGAAATGCGGGTGTCGATCTTGACCGCCGTCCATCTTGACCAGCGCCAATTCGTGGATCATCCTCGCATACCGGCGACGGCCAGCATGGACCACGACCGAGCTCGGCGTCGACGAGATCCCGGGACAGCTTGATCAGGGTCATCGCGCTTCTTCCCTCGGTGTCAGCACCCTCCAGGGCTGGGTAGGAGTGCGGCAGCTTCTGGCAGTTGGTGACGCAGACGCAGACGCAGACGCGCGAGTCCGCCGGCCAGCGGGCATGTGAACTTCAAGAAGTCGCTCTCGAGGTCCGCCCAGAATTTGGAAGTTGTAGCACTCTGAACACGGGAAACACGGGAGAACGAAGAGCATTATTCAGTCCTGCGCGCGCATGCAGCCGCCTGCAGCCGAGGCGCGCCTGCTCTGCCCACGGGTGTCCTCCTCTTCTGGCAGGTGGCGTGGTTTGGGGGGGGTCTTCGCAGAATCGACCTGCGAGCGAGCGAGCGCCGATGTCCGCTGCCGCGCGCACGCGCGCGACCGCTGCGCACCTGTAAGGTGTCGGCGGCGGAGCCGTAATTCGCTCCTTCCGATGACACGGACTCGATCTGGCCCTCTGGGAGTTCCCACGGGCAGCGGCCATGACACGACAGGCTCAGACAAGGTGCGCCCAGGCAGCCAAAACACAGGCCGCTCGGGACTACGAGCGCCTCCAAGTTCGCGACGAGCACTCCAGCATAGCGGCCCAACACTTCCCGTTGGATATGTCATGCCTGCTTTCCGCGTTCGAGTGCCAGATATGATGATGATACTATACGGTGTAGTACGGACGTGGAAGCAAGCGAGCAAGAAACATGCATATGCTCTCTCATGCTCTCTGCAAGTGCTCAAGCTTCTGCCGTCCCTTCATATGTGCCACGAGAAATCGCCATGACACTTAGGCTTCTACCGTCACTCGAAACGTGCAACGAGAAGCTACCATGGATTGGAAACAGCAGCGGCCGAACACTGTCCTTGGGTTGTAGTATGCGTGATTGTCGTACGAATGATCTGCAGTCGGATAGTCGCTCTGGGGTGTTCAACAGCAAGGGATGAGGCGGTAGGATAATCAACACAATATATTCCGAACACAAAGCGAAAGCATGAGAGAACCAAGTGGAGCAACGACTAAGAGTAAGTCACCCATCTTCCATTTAGCACACCTGATCTGAGGTCGAGAGGAGTCCTCAATTTCGCAATCATGCTGTGACCCTCCTGTGGAACATCGGATAACACTCTGATTCTCAACTGCGGCGGCACTTGGAATCCACGAGCTCCTCGAGTCTCTTCTAATGACTCCTTACAACCAAAGTGAACATCCGCCAGAAAAAAAACAAGAAAGACAATAAACGAACCTGAACCCCTCTTGACCTACCAAAATAAGATGTGTCATGTTGTGAAGCCCGTAAGGAAAAAACACTGGGAAATCCTGGAGGGAAATGTGTCCTGAAATGTTCGTCGTTTTGAGCTTCCTGGTGTCATTCCTGGGTCCAGGGACTGGCGAAAACGACTCAGGATGAACGCATGGTCCTCCCAAGGAAAATCCTACGGTCCACGACCCGTTTCCCTTAGGATCCGCTTTCTCAAACCAATCCCTCATATCGTGGGACCTGTCGATCTTTCGATACATACTCTCCCCGAGCCCTGTCATTTACTCTGAACTGCCCGCTCGCACCAGACAAAGACAGACACGCCCGATCGAACGCCTGCGAGCGACACGTGACACTCGCAAGGACGGCGAAATTGTACAACGGGTCAACCGTTCGCCACGAAGGAAACCAGGGTCCTGAAGGAAACGGCTCGAACTTTTCCCAAGACCAACTGTTTATCCTGAGATGTGTTCTTCGCGAACACAGGGCCTGGGAATGGCCCAGGGGGCTGAAACCGACGAAACAAATCCAGGACCTAGTTCTTCGGGAGGCGCCGAAGAGGGTGGCGAGGACTACGGGTATGTGGATATCATTGACCCCTCATTGTTATGACCATTCGTATTACTATATTTAGTATCTTGCTTTTTCTCATTACTCATCTCATTGTTATGTGCTTCTTCTTTCAATGCGCTCCCTGCCCCCCTCGTCCACGCACATGCTGCGGGTCATGCTGCGGTAGCCCGCCCGTTTCCTCCATGCGAGAGCCACGGCGCGCACTCAAATGATCGCGCTACGTCGGCGCCCGATGGGGGCAATAAATGTTGCGCTCTGCCGCGCCGGGGGTTGGAGCGCATTCGTCGCGCGGTGGGGCCAGAGAGCATCAGCGAGCGGATAGCCGAGCCCACCTCGCGGAGAAAGGGAGCGGAAGTTGACGGAGGGGAATCTGTCCGAAGGGGAAAGAGATCCTCCGATGCCGTAGGAAATCCATATCTTTTCCCCAACCAGAAGGGTGGGGCTGCTATACATATATATATATATATACATGATATCTATATATCAGGAAAAGACTTCGGTCTGCCCACGACGAATGACGATGGTCGCCAGACCCTCCCGGGAATCCCTGAGTCTCCCGTCTCGCGTCCACAACGAATGACCACACCCTGCATACCAAACAGTCCCGAGACGGAGGCGTCACGGCGTCACGCCGTCCAGGCGTCACGACGCATGTGCAACAAAACATGATTCATCGACAAGTACACACAACTACAAAAAAAGGGCACACTGATCATGACAAACACACTACGACATAACATGGTATAGCAGCGTATGGCATAACAGTACACACACTCATGACCAAGACTACGCAAGAACTCCGCAGGACAGTACAGACAAGAGAACACGATAATATATCATGGCGTAACATGGCATACCATAACACCGCATTGCATCATCGATCATCACACCACAAAACAAGTCATGTTATGATAGACACATTGCGAAATTGTATGGTACACCTTGAAAGAACAGAGCAAACGTGGCCGATTACTGTCATCATTGCGGCAACGAGTACAACATAAACTGGACACGACGGTACATATGTATATATTGATACATCTCTATATATATATATATACTAAAACCATCGCGCGCGCTTCGCACGCGTTCAGGTTCTAGCAGGCCCCAGGCCTTGACGAGTTCACTGCTCCACTGAAGTAGTGGACCAATCCACATCGGGGATCTCCTGACCTGGGTCAATCCAGACCCGGGCCAGTCAGGCCTTGCAAAATCCTGCAGGATCCTGCACCCAAACCCGGGTCAGTGCAGCCCTGGCCCTGCAAGATTCTGCAAGATCTGGCGCTCTGGTTGGCCCCGTTTGCATTGACCCCCGTCTCTTGAGCCCCGACCACGCATACCAATCCGCATTCTGGACAACTTTCCGGGAAAATGGATGCGTAGGGGGGCGGAGGCCGGATGAATCGGGTTCGCAGAAGGCCGTCTGGGAACATGGGTTTGGGGGGCGTTTGGGGGAGCCTGTTCGGGCGTGCCGTAGTCGTCGTCGTCGTCGTCGTCGTCGTCGTCGTCGTCGTCGTCGTCGTCGTCGTCGTCGTCGTCGTCGTCGTCGTCGTCGTCGTCGTCGTCGTCGTCGTCGTCGTCGTCGTCGTCGTCGTCGTAATAAAGTCGTCGCCTCTTGGGGCGCGCCGTCGTCGTCGTCGTCGTCGTCCTCGTCTTCATCGTTTCGTCGTCTTCGTCGTTGTCGGTTCAAGAGGGCACTTGGGGCAACTTTGTAAGAAACGATCTGCGGGGGGGCGCGAGAAGGCGATCAATCATGTTCCCAGTCAACTTTCCAGAGAACTCTCCCGTAGCGTGATGGTACTTCGGAGCCTCTGGAGACTCTCGGGCCCATGATGAACCATGTCCCGGAAAGCTTTCTGGGGCCACGATTTGTTGCGGTGTGTTTGGGGGCCTCTTGGGCGTTCCCTGGGGGCCCCTTGGGGGCCTTCGGGAACTCTCGGGCCATGATGAACCATGTCCCTGGAAGGCTTTCTGGGGACATGAATTCTTGGGGCGTGTTTGGGGGCCTCTTGGGTGTTCCCTCGGAGCTCCTTGGGGGTCTCTAGGGCTTCCTGGGGGCCTCCTGGGCGCCTCACGGGGCTTCGTGGGAGCCTCTTGGTGGCCTCCGGGGGCCTACTGGGGGCCTCTATAGGGCCAGAGACATCGAAATATCGGTTGGCGGTCCCTCTCTGGGCCCCCTCTAGGGGAGCTCTTGGGGCACAATTGGGTTGTCTCGGGAGCCTCCTGGCCCTCTTGGGGCCCTCTTCAGGGCCTCGTGGGCCGTCTTGGAGTGATCTGAACGGCATCCGAAGCCGTGAGGGAGCCTTGGGAAGCGGGATAAGCGAGAAACCAAAATCCTTCAAAACCTTCGGAAAATTGATGAATTCAGCCTCCCAGGGCCCTCTTGGGGAGCCTCTTGAGTCCGTCCTGGAGCGTGTTGGAGTCCTCGTCGGCCGTCTTGAGGGCAGGTTGTGCATCTTCGGAGCCTCTTGGGAGCGTCTTGAGCCCTCTCAAGGCCCCCTCAGCTTGTCGTGGCTTGCTTCGGGGCCGGCTCGGCCCCCTCTTGGGGTGCTCTTGAGGCACACTTGGGTTGTCTCGGGAGCCTCCTGGGCCGTCTTGCGGCCCTCTTCGGGGCCTCGTGGGCCGTCTTGGAATGATCTGAGCGGCCTCCGAGGCCGTGCGGGAGCGCTGGGGGCGGGAAAAGCGAGAACACCAAATCCTTCGAAAACCTCGCGAAATGACTGAAATTTGCCTCCCGGGGTCCTCTTGGGAAGCCTCTTGAGTCCGTCCTAGAGCGTGTTAGGAGTCCTCGTCGGCTGTCTTGTCGGCATCGTGGGCGTCTTCGGAACCTACCGGGGCCGTCTTGGGCCCTCTCGGGACAGACACCCTTAGCCTGTCGTGGACTGTTTCGGGGCAGGCCCGGGCCGCCTCGGGAGCTCTGGCCCTCCCCCACAAACCCCAGCGGCGACCATGGGGGGAACAGGCACTGGCCCGGCCCCCCCTCCCGGCCTATTCCGATGTTATATTATATTATAGTAGATTCCATTAGTTCACAATATAATATATTATATTAGATGATATGCTGTTATATTATATTATAGGTTAATATATTATACTACGTGGTGTTATATTATAGCATACTATACTGTACTATACTATGGTATAGTATATTATATCTTATTATGTTACATTATACTATACGATGTTGTGTTGTAGCTATATATTAGCTATTAGTTGTAGTATACTATGTTGTATTATATCACACTATACTATATTACATTTCATTATATAATATCATGCCATATTACATGATAGCATGTCATATAATATGGTATAATACGGATGTATATTACATTGTATGATATAATATGATGTCATAATGTACAATCGTATGCTATAGTGTATGGCATATTGTATATATGATAATATAGCGTCGTAGTACAGTATAGCATAGTGTAGTACATTATCGTATAGTACACTATAGTATAATATGGTATGGTATAATGGTTTTTCAATATAGCATGCGCGATGCAGTAATACATATATAACGTATTATATTGTATGTTAGTGTATCATAACATCGGTTAATATAATAGTTAGCAGTGCAACGTCTTATAACGCATCATGTGATTATACGTGAATACAATGAACTGTGGTATAATATCATATAATATGTGTTATACCATATTGTTAAGTATCAAGTTATGGCAAACCATAGTATTACAGTATCTGTATGCCCACACATATCTATATATATATATATATATATACACATGCATCGTGCTGATTGTTTGGGAAGAGCAGGAGATGGGAGCGGACCGAGACAATCTGCACAACTCGCTTCGCCAAGCGTGATGGCAATTATCATGCTCGTCGCCAGGCTGCCCTGCGAACGTGCCCAACAAGCCAGTCGGGGAGGACGGCTTCGGACCTCGCCACGACTACGCTGCTGCATACTGTAGGCGCCAGCTGGAGCGGACAAGCCCTGCCCCCCCCTGGACAGACAGACACAAACAAAACGAACAACCAGAGAGAATCAATGCCAGAGTGCGTGGGCCAGGAGGAGGAGGAGAAAGGCGAGGCGCGCCT